TTCGTCTGCTTTTTTCTGATTGGGATTCGCTCATCAATTGCCAAAAAATAACGATTCACACTATAGGACGCCACCAATCATTTGACTTGAATAGTCGACATCCTGCATAATTAAGAAAAAACACAAGTGATGTGTGTAGCATCAAGCCTTAAGGCTTGACTACCGTCAACTGGGATAACGTTGGCATATTTTTTCCTCTAATATTACATGTCCCAAACTATTTGTGAACTATTTTTTTACACCTGGACCTATTAACTATATAACCTAGTAAGAGCCTCCTAGTATATACTGCCAAAGTTTCCCCGTATATTCGGCGGGCAAACTTTTGCAGGTTATCAGAATGGAGAAAACTGGTATTATTAACTAAACTTATACAATTATAACAATATTTATAGTCTTTGAAATACGGAAATATTCTTTCTACAAATGACTTTTATGGAATCAATTTTATCACAAAAATTGTCCGTTATACCGCGCAATAATAAAACAGTACGGGGTAACTTCTGCTATAGTTACCCAGGATGCCAAAGTTACTCCGGTTTACGGTAGCTGTTTATGACGTCATTGAATTCACTTCGCTTTCAATTTTCAAAGGACGTATTTTATTTGATGGCATATTATTTCCTATAACCAGTTCTAAAGAATATAAGAGCAAATCGATAGTTGAAATTAAATGATAATTTCTAAGATCTCCGGTGTGCATCAAAATGGTTTTGCCCTTCACTAACGTATAAACACTGTATACTCAGTGTGTTACCTCCCGAGTGAAAATTGAAAAAAATCACTCGGGTGGGACATCTTCGGTGTTTCAGTAAGCCTCTGTACTGAACTACTGATGACGTCTTATTTTGTTTACTTGTGCGCTTTTCTATGGGGCTACGAAACCGCCGTCCCCGCCAGGCTCCCATAGGAAAGCACACGTGTAAATAAAGTGTGACGTCATCAGTACATTGGCTCATTGGGATAATGAATGATGCTGTTAATGGTTTTAAACAATGACTGATTATACCTTTAATTCAATTGAACATTTGAAGTTGAATAATTAACTACACACAACTGTGAAAATATATTGTGACGCATAGGCCTACGTCAAATGTTTTATTTAAACTACTCATAATGAAATTAAACTATCCAGAACTTGCTACGAATGAATATTGACAGCAATTTTATAGTCTGTGATTTTATAGTCTGTGATTTTATACATTTATAATTTATCTTGTCTTGATAACGAGTTATACAAGTGTCGGGTGCTCTTAGAATAACAATATAGTTTGTTTGGTTAAAATATGTTATATTTCCAATATAATCATCTTAATCATTGTGAGAAATAGCACATGTACGAAACAAAACGATGTCCATTTTATATTAACACACGCGTGCCTTTTACATACAACACTCGTGAGTCTATGATAGATATAATCTTAGTTTAAGTCTGGTGACCCTACAGTATCGACATAACTAATGTTTTCATTACATGTTCAGTATACTTTCTTCCAAATCCTGTGAATCACATTGCACAATGAATGGCAAGAGATATGAGAAAAAAAATGTCTATGTTGGGAGCATGCGTGCTGTCGCCTATGACATTTGGTTCCTTGATTTAATAATCTTTCCTCTGTATCTCGAAATAAAGTTTGTGATTCTCTATCAACTGTGTGAGCGAAGAGTTAATTAAGTTAACTCTTCGCTCACAATCTTATGATTTTTCTCTACATCTTGTAAATTTTCCTCTACAACTCGTAATAAAGTTCGTGGTTCTCTCTCAATTGTGTGAGCGAAGTGTTAATCAATTTTACGGCACATTCCCAGACGAACAATCTTATGATTTTCCTCTACATCTTGTAAATTTTCCTCTACATCTCGTAATAAAGTTCGTGGTTCTCTCTCAATTGTGTGAGAGAAGTGTTAATCAATTTTACAGCACATTACCAGACGCAAAATCCTATGAATAGACAAAACACTCTCCAAAAAAATATACAGACCTTGATATCATTAACCTGGCAGGATGAGTCAAAGATGAGTATTTTATTATCAATATCATTAACAACCACGAGAGCAAAACAAATTTGGATGGGGTCCTCGTGTTTTGTGTTCAGGCCAGACACCTTTCAGTTGGGGGCAATGAACCGGTTGACGATCACCTATGTACGTCGTAGTGACAGTTTTATCCAATTATCAAGACTCGATAACTCTATCTGCATAGTTCTATGACAATAACTCACAATGTCAAGCAACCAACGATCACAGACTAAAACGTATTATCCTCTTCTTCATATTCTCTTCTCTCTCTTTTCTTTTTCTTTTCATTTTTTTGTTCAAAATTTTTTTTTAAATTTCTCTCTTCCTTTCTTCACAATGAAAACGAAGAAGAGAGATTCAGGATCTACTTTAAAGTTTTAACGCACGAAATTGTCAACTAAAAACATAAGGGTTTTTCGTACTAAGAGATCCTGCATAACATGAAAGGTTGGGCTTAGTTCAGCTCTATATATGGACGAGGAGAAACCTCGTAAATCTCTAACTCCTAAAGTTTAAACGAGAACGTGTGGAGGACGCTTCGCTGGTTCTCGCGCGCTGTGCACTGCTTGAATATACATCAATTTATGCCACTTGGCATAAGGCAAGATGGCGCCCATATGTCCTTCTTAATTGGCTCATTTTCAACGTTGAGGGGTACTTCAATTACATGTGATCCGTATACACCTTATCGCTGGGTACCATTGTCACATGAAAATCCGACTCCTATGAAAATCGGACCCCTATTTCCCTATTATTGGTTGATCCCTCGCACGTGACAGGTCACTCTCCCGACACGATCCTAAAAATAGCATAGTATCGTACTCACGCGTGCGCAGAAATACCAATGAGTCCACATTTCATGGAGTCGGATATTCACGCTACACCGTCTTTGCCACATCTCTAGATAAATACGTCAGTACAGTTTAGTTTACTGCATGTGTCATATCGCCCATATGTATTTCAAAATATGATATCATACAGTGAAGGAAAGGTTATACATTGTGCATTACACCGTTTGTCTGTGGGGGTGTGGGTAGGCATTACATTCACTGAGTGTGGACTTCCGAACAAAAGCGGTCCACATAAACCAGGTAGAGGCGACGTTGTGTGGACTTGGGCAAGTCCACACAGTGTTTCCCTATTGGTGAAAAACAAGTTAAGAGGCATTTTGGGTTAGGTTTATGAGTGGCAAATGAAGAGAAATACACTGTAAAGGGAATCATAGAGAAAAATTGGGTTGAAATGTCTTCACAGTGAGAGTAAAACGATTTTTTTCAGAGCTTTTTGTAAACTACACGACAGCAAGGGAATGTCCACACTAGGTATGTAACGTAAACATTATGTATGTATACACGGGGGTACAACCAGTGTATTTGCCCAGACATTCTTGAAAATTAAGGTCAAAGGTTGTTTTGGGCGGGACTTTAAAATGTAAACATACCCTGGTATAATGTCGCCTGCTTCACTTGCAAATTTAGGTTTAATCACTGTAACTAGATCAACAATCGCTGAAATCGGAGCACGTGCTCTGAATTATTGATTATTACTAATTCCAATGCAGCACCTTCAATAAAATGGGCAATATTTGTGTCATAAATCTCTCCACTTATACCCACTTCGTATTCAAGATTCCGCCATCTTTAATCTTCCTATCCACGAAATCGTCCGCTCACATCACATACACACACGGGTAGCCATCAGAGACCCGTTCACGTGCTGGGGCAATGGTCTATGACACCGGGGCAGACACGAGGATCACGTGATGGCTAATCGAACGGGCTCGTGTAACTTTCACTTACACGAGTAAGCTAAACGAACGCACCCTATGGCACGGTTAACTGTTTTGCTTGTAAGCCAATAAGGAAGGAAAAATTGAAAGACAACAATATCGGCTCATACCTGCACGTCTTCGAATATGTACTGCTCGATTTTACATTGCACTTAGTCACATTAAGTTATCCTTATGCCACATTCAACTTCGTTTGAATTCAACGATTTCTGGTGACGATTTACATGGATGTGTAATCTTTGTAGTTGCGATTCGGCGTAGGCCTAATGTGTAGCCTACTCTTTCTTACAATACCTAAATTTGAAAATAATTCAAGCTACAAAAAAGCAGTCATGTTATGCCGCTCGTTTGGAAAGTAGACTTACGTCTACTCATGAGACCTGCAGGCACTCTATTGTGCACTTTGTTGTGTCTTTACACACGCACACCCCTGTTTGTTTTACATATGCTATGTGGACATTCCTTTGTTTTCGTGTAGTTAAGAAGACTCGGTACAAAAAATAACTTTACTTAAACTGTGAAAACTCTTTCAACCCAATTTTTTTTCTATGATTCCCTATAGTGTTTCTCTTTATTCTGCCACAGATAAACTTAACCCAAAAATGCCTCGAAACCTGTTTTCCAGAAAGGGCGAAACGTTATGTGGACACGGCTTAGTCCACATAACGTCAACGCAACCTGCATTATGTGGACATCTTTTGTTCACAAGTCCACGGTGAATGTAAGACAAACTCACCTCCACAGACAGCTAAACGAACGCATCCCTAATGAATCGCTGCTACAACCTCCATTATACTAGTGGGCTATATGACTCGGTGCGCGGAGAACGCAAGAAGGGTCTTCGTGTCATATAGCGTGCCATTAAAGAGGGTTTTAGAGAAAAAGTTACTAGAAGGAAAATAAAAAAAAGAAGAGCTCGAAGCTATAACAAAACGTGATAGGTCTCGATGCGATGACCTTAAAAACGCGATATTTTATGGGATCCATCGTGTTCATGAATTTGATAAGAATTTCTTAATTAAGTCAAAGTTTACAAAAATGCATCTTGCTTTATCTTCTTGCGCATCACATCTCAAAAACTACTAACAAGTGCATGGTCAGTTAAACGCGTAATTACTGATTACAGTACTAATTACATGAACTTTCTAAACACTATATCTGAGATTAAGTTTCCAATCAGAAGATTCCTCGATCAGTTGCGGCTGGTACTTACTGTTGAAAGTGAAGCTTCGTCCCCCCTCTTACAAAAGACAACTTTCAGCGCCTTCTGGAACTGCTTGTACTTGATGGCATATATGAACGGGTTAAGGCAGCAGTTGAGAGCACCTAACCCGATCATAATGTAGAATATGGGCGAATTGAAGTCGACTTCCACGCCGAGGTTGAAGAGGAAAAAGTTGACTTCGCTCGGGGCCCAGCAGATGACGAAAATGGTAGAGACGATCATGAGGGTCTTGAAGGTGTTACGGCGAGCACGCATCAGAGACTCCCCCTGGCCCTCGGGAGCTTGGCCGGTAGATGGACCGGCAGCCGCCGGTGCAGGCAAAACTCGCCCAGCTCCTTTCTTCAGGACCACCGCGATGTGGACGTAGACAACTAGCATGACAAAGAAGGGTACCAAGAACCGGCAGGCGAAGATAAACACGCCAAGGGCTTCTGGGTGTGCCACCGGATTCAGCACGCACTCACCAGCCTCGTAGTAGCGGAGGTAGATGCCGAAACCGTTGAACAGGAATCCGCACACCCAAATTCCGGCAAAAATGACGGCTATGGCTCTCTTATGATAGGTCAGTGCTTGGTACTTGAAAGGGAACACTATGGCCAGGTACCTCTCTAGAGTAAGGACGACCAGGTTGAATGTGGATGCGGTGAACAGTCCCCATTGGAGGTAGCCACTTTCCCACATAGCGCAGATAAACACTCCAGTAGCCCCAGGAGGTATCGGATCAGGGATTGGTACGATATTCAGAAGCAGAGTCACCAACGACCCGAGGAGATCGATCAGGGCTTGGTTGAAGATGAAGGTGTTTGTCAGGGTGTGCATGAAACGAACCTTAGCGATGACCGCGCACACCAAACCATTACCGCAGATCCCAACGATTCCCACAACTGACTGAAATGCCCGTGTCGCTTGCTCAGCCATCGTGAATCTCAGCGCAAGTTACTCGAAAAGTTGAAGTCCTCAAAACCAAATGCTTGACCCTGCCCTGTACATCCTGTATTTATAGTCTCATCCTGTCGCAAATATCAACTTGGTGATTTAATAAGCTTCGTAAAATTTTCAGCGAGAACGTAGTCATTATACGTATCCATTCCTTACGCTTTCCAAGGAGCCAGGCAACTCCAGAGAATGGAAAACAAAGTAATTAGCGCCATGACGCAGTCTATGTAGAAATCTGAATTTGTACTTGCTGACGAACTAGCGAATTATTGGGTTTGCCATCCTGTGAATTATTTGCACAATCCGAATTATTTGCCAAGAAATTGCATTTTGCGAGGAGAGCTTTGGGGATATTCTCCCTTCCCAACATAATTACGTTAAGATTTGAAAATTAGACCATACAGCGCCACAGTATATTTATTCCCTGAAAATTGAATTGAATATCAAACAATGGGACTCGTGGCTAGTGGATCGGCGGGAAAACAGTTACACCCAAAAAAATGCCATATGGTTCAAACTGGCGATTCATAATTGCTCCGAACTAAATTAGTCCGAAGATTTGAATTACATTTGACGTTTAGTATTTTACAACAATGTGGTGCAGGTATGGGTTACGCACGCAGCTCGAAAAAGCTAGCTGGTTATACATGTATTGCCATTTTGTGTTGTTATTTTAACCAAACTCATTAGTGGAATCCGCCCATACTGGTGCCAACGTGGATAATGGCTGCCGCTGGTATACACGTCTGCACATTTTGATGAGGAAAGCATATTGTCCATAGTGTGCCAGATGAAATAATGGTGATTTAACAAGCACCTTTTTTTTCAGAGCACTGAAAGAAGCGACTTGAAATCTTTGATGATTTCCGGCAAAAAATAACAAGAGAATGTCGTGACTCGCCGGTTTTGGTCGTACTGTCTTATTTCCACAGAGTAAAAATTCACTGCCACAAACCGAGACAAGAGAACAGAGTGAAATGTTCACTAGAATTTCGACTGAATTGATTTTTTTTCTTCAGAGTATTTCTATCTAAAAGTCTAGTGATTTTTTTTAATAAATCGTTTAGTCCCTAGTTTCAAGCAAAACAACATCAAAAGATGCCATAACGTACAGTTGTGCTGCCACCAATAGTTCGAGAATGCCCTATGCTAAAAAAAATCCGCAACGGAAATCGATTAAAAAAATGTTGGGGGTTTTGTGACATTGGTTGCACCATTTGTTGCAAAATTTAACGTGAAAGCATGAAAACAATCTTACTTTATATACAGAAAAAGTCTCAGTGATAATTCGTACATCCAAACAATGCATCCTATTATGCACTAGGCGCAGTCTTTGCTAACTGAGGTCACTGGCTGCAATGTCTCCCCACTTCTACCGAAGAGAGTTCTCAGGGCCTTCCGGAACTGCTTGTACTTGATGGCGTATATGAACGGGTTCAGGCAACTATTTGAAGCAACAAATGCAACCGACACGATGTAGACGACAGAGGTGAAGTCCACTGCCACGCCAAGGTTGAAGAGGAAGAAGATGACCTCGTTAGGCGTCCAGCACACAGTGAACGCCACGCAGACGATTATAAGGGTCTTGAAGGTGTTACGGCGAGCACGCATCAGCGACTCCCCCTGGCCCTCGGGAGCTTGACCGGTAGACGGACCGGCAGCCTCCGGTCCGGGCTGAATTCTGCCAGCTCCTTTTTTGAGAATCACCGCGATGTGGACGTAGGCGATCAGCATGATGATAACGGGAATGAAGTACGTCACGACGAACACGGCCACACCAAGAGCTTGCGGATGGGCCACTAGCTTCGATTTGCACTGACCGGCTTCGTAGTAATAAATGAACTGACCGTAGCTGTTGAAAAGAAAGGCTGAGATCCAGACGCCGAGAATGACGGCTATGGCTTTCTTACGAGTGGCCAACAATTGGTACCTGAAGGGGAACACTATGGCTAGGTACCTCTCCAGAGTCACTGCCGCTAGATTGAAAGTTGAAGCAATGAACAGTCCCCATATGAAAAAGTTGGACACCCACAACTTGCAGAGAAGTACTCCGCTCGCTCCGGGAGGTATCGGGTCGGGGATTGGTAAGAGACTGCTCAGCAAAACGAGCAACGACCCGAGGAGATCGATCAGGGCTTGGTTGAAGATGAAGGCGTTGGTCAGGGTGTGCATGAAGCGAACCTTAGCGATGACCACACACACCAAACCATTGCCGCAGATTCCTACGAGTCCAACGAAGGTCTGAAAAACCCGAAGTGCCAAGTTTTCTTCAGCCATGTCTGTAGCGTAGCCTACTCGATCTGAGCAAACTGCGCGGAAAAGAGCTGCTTTTTATGGGCAACTGCTCTTTACCCCCGACATTCATCGAACATTCCACGATATATATTTTTATTAAATAGTATGCCAGTCTAAATCTGATAACCAATTTCTACAGAGGACGGTAGTTTTATTGTCCTATAATCAATTCGTGAAAAGCGTCGGCTAGCAAACCTATTACTGCAGTGATAATTTGTACGGCAAGGCCGGGTTATAATGAAAATTGTCGAAGTCAATTTTTGGTTGTCCTTGCTCCTTTAATAAAGCGAATTGATTTGAGCAGAGAAATATGTCGACCTGGAAAAATAGCAGCGGTGAAAACAATCGCATCACAAAAGGGGAAATAAATGGCCTCTAAACGTTAATCGTGTTTATCAGGGGAAATGATAATTGCATGGGGAATATTGCTACGATAATGAATTTCATTCACCAATTATTAACTTCTCTTGCAAACAACCAGGGCGATGTTTTAATTTCCTCTCCATTTCAGAGGAACTGAAAGAAGAGTCCGGAAGAAACAAACACGCCAAACTAAAATTTAATTTGAGTTAAATTGAAATGTGGACGATATACTTTTGGGAAAGGGTTGGGAATAAGTCAATAAAGCAATCAAAATGTCAACCCTATTTTTGGAATAAAGATTGCAAATAAATTCCCGCAAAAAAAATTGCTGTCGGAACTCATTGCCTTATTCCTGAACTACCAACTTGTAATATTGCCAAGGCTGAAGAAAATATAATTCAATTTCCTCCTAGCACAATAATTGTAAATGCCCAACCACTAAAACCCAGTGGCCTACATCTGTATTGAAGTCTTTAGTGATTACCGCAATGCTTTTAGACCCAAGCAGACCTACTCCGCTAAGTTTTCACCTCAAATTTGATTATGAACAGGAGTGCTCTGAATAATTTTCTTTGTTTTTTTTCCCAAGGTACCATCTGTCGATGGGGGCGCTGTTCAAAACCGACGATTATGTACACTAACGGACACTATATGGTGCTTTTCAGGCCGATACATACGCGAAATTAAAAAAAAAATGGCACCCGGAACGGCCGATGGCAAAAAACACGGCACCACTTCTTTTTCAAAAGGGCACTTGTTCAGAAAAAAGGGCTACTCTTTACAAAATAATGGGGGGGGGGGGTGTTAAGCGCTGGTGAAAAAAGGGCATTTGAATGGAAAAGGGCAGTCTTTACAAAGTATTGGGGGGGGGGAGGTTAAATACCCACCCCCCGCTGGCTAAGCCTATGCTATAACAATGAAAATCAAATCAAATTAGGTTTGCCCTTCACCGACGTATAAACACTGTATACTCAGTGTGTTACCTCCCGAGTGAAACTTGGAAAAAATCACTCGGGTGAGACTCGAACCTACGACCTCCTGAAGGGCAAAACCTAATTTGATTTACATCACCCCGACGCAAAAATTCCATCTTATAAATAATGAAAATCAAGCCTCTCATTATTAGACATTCACGCATTCGTTTTTATAAACGAAGAAGAGTTTGTTATTTTCATTTCACAAAATGTTTCGAACAGAATTAACACAACGCATAGATCTTTGAACTGATCCATTGCTGGCTATGATGCATCATTCGTGTTTGTTGCGAATTTTGTATCGATAAGAGGGTCAGCAATTTTATATACGAGGTAATTAATGTAAAAGAAGTAGAGTGGTAAGTTCCCCACATAATTATGCACACTGCACATTTGGGGACCGTTTTCATCCACAATGATTGCGATGATCACCGAGATACAAGATAAAGATGACATTTTTTTCGGCATTCTTAGAACATTCAGGCATTTTTAGCGATGAATGTAGAGAGGTTATATAAGTATTCGTTAACTACCCTTAGGGCTTACACTTGTTTAATGTATAATGCATGTGGAGTTATGCTTTGGTCAAGACTATACTACTCACTTTTAGCATTAAAAAAAGTACTCACTACAGAAAAGTCCCCTTCAGTGATTATTCATTCATCAAAACAATGCATCACATTTTGCATGCAGTCTCTGCTTTATGTCACTGGCTGCGATGTCTCCCCTCTTTTACCGAAAAGAATTTTAAGGGCCTTCCGGAACTGCTTGTACTTGATGGCGTAAAGGAACGGGTTGAGACAGCTGTTTGAGGCAACAAATGCAACCGACACGATGTAGACGAAGCAGGTGAAGTCCACTTCCACCCCGACGTTGAAGAGGAAGAAGATGACCTCGTTGGGCGTCCAGCAAACAGTGAACGCCACGCAGACGATCAGGAGGGTCTTGAAGGTGTTACGGCGAGCAGCCTACAAAGCAGCACTCCGCTCGCACCTGGCGGTAGCGGCTCAGGAATCGGCACCAGACTGCTCAGCAAAACGAGCAACGACCCGAGGAGATCGATCAGGGCTTGGTTGAAGATGAAGGCGTTGGTCAGGGTGTGCATGAAGCGAACCTTAGCGAAGACCACACACACCAAACCATTACCGCAGATTCCTACGAGCCCAACCAAGGTCTGAAAAACCCGAAGTGCTAAGTTTTCTTCCGCCATATCTGTAGCGTACTCGATCGGCTGAGCAAACTGATCGGGATAGAGCTGCTTTTAATGGGAAACTGCCTTTACCCCATAGTCAGTCATTACCAGCCATCTTCGTATAGCCGCTGCAAAATCCAGAATGGCTGGTCTTCACAGCATGCAATCATTCTCGATCAAGTCCCAGTTCCGTTATAAATTAATAAATTAAAACCATTCACGTGATCGATCTAGGCTTCCTTAGGCCTGTCCCCTATTCAATAAGCTTCATTGGTAATGTACTGACCATTCCTTTCAGGCGTATCGCGGCAATGACTACAGCGGAGCAATTAACAACATCTTTTTGAGTGATTGCAAACCTTTCATGTACATGTAGTCACATCATACATGAAAGCTTTACCTTGGTAAGCTAGTATAACTCGAAATTTTGGAGGACTTAATATTTTGAGTCCTTTATAAGCCACACAAAGCAAATCTAGATGAAATCAATGATCTCTCATACATTCGACTACTCTCTTCATTAGTAAAAAAAGCTCTTCTCAGAGTTTTTAATCATATATATTGTCCATGTCCAATCGAATTCCAGACATCCATTAAGGCAAATTGCCCATTTATGACCTTGGATCCGGAGAAAGATGTCGGCTTTTTGGATTCATTAATTATTTTCTGATTTACAAAGTACAGTCGACTCTCATTATAAAGAGTACTTTTATAAAGAGGTTCTGCTTATAAAGAGCAAATTCTGAGGTCCCAAATCTCAGGTTCTCTTTGTGTTTCTTTGTTTCGCTGTCCTTTTATAACAACATTCCTGTTATGAACAGGTAATTTGTCTAATCCCATCGACCTTGTTATAACCAGAGTCGACTGTACTGTATACTGACACCGTACTAATGTGCCTGATTGGTCACACTAGCAACTGTTTCGTGGATTATTGGGGCATGGGTTGGGGGTGGTATAGTTGCAGTTTCAGAAAGACAGTGTATCGTTTGCAGCACAATTTTCGTTTCTAATGCTGCTTTTGTTTACTTTCATTATTATTACCGTTTCTAGAAAAAAATAGGTGAATTGACTGAGTTTTGAGGTTATAACATGTAGAGGTACAATGCTAGGAATTTCCCCAAAGATGCACATTGCAGATTTGGGAGACCGTTGATGTGTAAGGCCGAATAAAAAAAACCCCATGTTTTTCGTCCGGGCCTTTGAAAAAAAAAGGAGGAAGCGGGTTTTTTTATTTTTTATTTGTTTCAAGATGGCCGCCATTTAAAAATTTCCTGAAACCGTTGGTGTTTCCACTGTTCAAAGACACTTTTAAAATGAAAGATAAGTTGGACAAGAGAACTGAACATATTTACAGTGTCATTTAGACTTGTATTGGTCTACGATTTATTTTCCAATGAATTTGTGGGCTTTTCCGGTGTTTTTTTACTGCATTTTTCAAAAATAAAAAATAATAAAAAATCCAGGCGGCCTCCAAAAAGGAAGCGGGCGGGGACGAGAAACATGTTTTTTTTTACTTCGCCTAATTACAATGATCAACGCAGTACTGTATAAAGGTGATTTTTGTTCTTAATACCTGATACAGAACATTCTGTCCAAAAATCTTGCTTTATGTGGAGGTAAATACATGAAGCGAACCTTAGCGATGACCACACACACCAAACCATTGCCGCAGATTCCTACGAGTCCAACGAAGGTCTGAAAAACCCGAAGTGCCAAGTTTTCTTCAGCCATGTCTGTAGCGTAGCTTACTCGATCTGAGCAAACTGCGCGGAAAAGAGCTGCTTTTAATGGGCAACTGCCTTTACCCCATAGTCAGTCATTACCAGCCATCTTCGTATAGCCGCTGCAAAATCCAGAATGGCTGGTCATCACAGCATGCAATCATTCTCGATCAAGTCCCAGTTCCGTTATAAATTAATAAATTAAAACCATTCACGTGATCGATCTATGTTTCCTTAGGCAACGTGATTACATACACTATGTCCACTATTCAATAAGCTTCATTGGTAATGTACTGGGTCATTCTATACATTTAGGGTCCAAAGTGTGACATTTTTCTTGTCCCTGTTACCTTGGTACTTTGTAATTTGCCATTCAAGCATCATTAAGAATGACTTCAAATGATTGTTTATTTGTTGGGTAGGTTAGTTTGCTATTCATAATCACTCTTGGAGGATGACTGCATTAAGGAGTGCATCAGAATTGTACAATCATAGATGTCAGATGTAACAGGGACAGGAAAAAAGTGGACCCCAAATTTGTAGAATGACCCACTTACCATTCCTTTCAGGCGTATCGCGGCAATGACTACAGCGGAGCAATTAACAACATCTTTTTGAGTGATTGCAAACCTGTCATGTACTTGTAGTCAAATCCTACATGAAAGCTTTACCTTGGTAATCTAAAACAACTCGAAATTGCAGAGGACTTAATTTTTGGAGTCCTTAATTATTAGCCACAGAAAGTAAAGCTAGATGAAATTAAGAATCCCTGGTACAATCCACAGCTCTCTTCATTTAGTAAGAAACGTTTCATGTCAGACTTAATGTTGTCGATGTCCAGTCAAATTTCAGACATCCATTAGGGCAAATTGCCCAAAATGACCTTGGATCTGGAGTAAGATGCCGACGTTTTGCTTTAATTAATTAATTATTTTCTGATTTACAAAGTACATGCACTGTTAAATGTGTCTGATTGGTCACCATAGCAACTGTTTCGTGGATTATTGGGGCATGGGTTGGGGGTGGTATAGTTGCAGTTTCAGAAAGGCAGTGTATCGTTTGCAGCACAATTTTCGTTTCTAATGCTGCTTTTGTTTACTATCATTATTATTACCGTTTCTAGAATAAAAATAGGTGAATTGACTGAATTTTGAGGTTATAAAATGTGGAGGTACAATAGAATTTCCCCAAAGATACACACTGCAGATTTGGGATACCGTTGATGTGTAAGGCCGAATAAAAAAAAACCATGTTTCTCGTCCGGGTTTTTGAAAAAAAGGAGGAAGCGGTGCTTTTTATTTTTTATTTGTTTCAAGATGGCCGCCATTTAAAAATTTCCTGCAACCGTTGGTGTTTCCACTGTTCAAAGACACTTTTAAAATGAAAGATAAGTTGGACAAGAGAACTGAACATATTTACAGTGTCATTTAGACTTGTATTGGTCTACAATTTATTTTCCGATGAATTTGTGGACTTTTCCGGTGTTTTTTTACTGCATTTTTCCAAAAATAAAAGATAATAAAAAAATCCAGGCGGCCTCCAAAAAGGAAGCGGGCGGGGACGAGAAACATGTTTTTTTTTTTTACTTCGCCTAATTACAATGATCAACGCAGTACTGTATAAAGGTGATTTTTGTTCTTAATACCTGATACAGAACATTCCGTCTAAAAATCTTGCTTTATGTGGAGGTTAAAAACAAGTATACAGTATTCGCTAAGTGCCATTAGGGCCTATACTATAGTTTTTAAACAGCACAAGCGTTCGTCTGTATCCTCAATCTTTCACAGTACTTATGCATTTAGAGTTTTGCTTTGGTCATGCATGACCAGTACTCACTGTTGGCGGTGGCAAATCGTCAGCAATCGTAATCTGCCTACCCAGGAGCGTTTTCAGAGCCTTTCGGAACTGCTTGTACTTGATGGCATACAGGAATGGGTTCAGGCAGCTGTTTGAGGCAACAAATGCAACCGACACGATGTAGACGAAGGAGGTAAAGTCCACTTCCACGCCAAGGTTGAAGAGGAAGAAGATGACCTCGTTGGGCGTCCAGCAAACAGTGAACGCCACGCAGACGATCAGGAGGGTCTTGAAGGTGTTACGGCGAGCACGCATCAGCGACTCCCCCTGGCCCTCGGGAGCTTGACCGGTAGATGGACCGGCAGCCTCCGGTCCGGGCTGGATTCTCGCGGCTCCCTTCTTGAGGACCACTGCGATGTGGACATAGGCAACTATCATGACGATGACAGGTAGAAGGTATGTCACCATGAAGACGGCCACGCCAAGAGCTTGCGGATGGGCCACTAACTTCTGCTTGCACTGACCGGCTTCGTAGTAGCGAATGAAAATTCCATAACTGATGAAAAGGAATGCCGACACCCAAACAGTTAATATTGTGACTACGGCATTCTTACGAGTACCAAGCACTTGGTACCTGAAGGGGAACACAATGGCTAGGTACCTCTCCAGGGTCAATGCAACCAGGTTAAAAGTGGACGCTGTGAACATGACCCAGTTGAAATATTTTGAAATCCACAGCCTACAAAGCAGCACTCCGCTGGCACCTGGCGGCAGCGGGTCAGGAATCGGTACAACACTGCTCAGCAAAACGAGCAACGACCCGAGGAGATCGATCAGGGCTTGGTTGAGGATGAAGGCGTTGGTCAGGGTGTGCATGAAGCGAACCTTAGCGATGACCACACACACCAAACCATTGCCGCAGATTCCTACGAGTCCAACGAAGGTCTGAAAAACCCGAAGTGCCAAGTTTTCTTCAGCCATGTCTGTAGCCTACTCGATCGGCTGAGCAAACTGATCGGGATAGAGCTGCTTTTAATGGGCAACTGCCTTTACCCCATAGTCAGTCATTACCAGCCATCTTCGTATAGCCGCTGCAAAATCCAGAATGGCTGGTCTTCACAGCATGCAATCATTCTCGATCAAGTCCCAGTTCCGTTATAAATTAATAAATTAAAACCATTCACGTGATCGATCTATGTTTCCTTAGGCCAACGTGATTACATACACTATGTCCACTATTCAATAAGCTTCATTGGTAATGTACTGGGTCATTCTATAAATTTAGGGTCCAAAGTGTGACATTTTTCCTGTCCCTGTTACCTTGGTACTTTGTAATTTGCCATTCAAGCATCATTAAGAATGACTTCAAATGATTGTTTATTTGTTGGGTAGGTTAGTTTGCTATTCATAATCACTCTTGGAGGATGACTGCATTAAGGAGTGCATCCGAATTGTACAATCATAGATGTCAGATGTAACAGGGACAGGAAAAAAGTGGACCCCAAATGTATAGAATGACCCACTTACCATTCCTTTCAGGCGTATCGCGGCAATGACTACAGCGGAGCAATTAACAACATCTTTTTGAGTGATTGCAAACCTTTCATGTACATGTAGTCAAATCATACATGAAAGCTTTACCTTGGTAATCTAAAACAACTCGAAATTGCAGAGGACTTAATTTTTGGAGTCCTTAATTATAAGCCACACAAAGTAAAGCTAGATGAAATTAAGAATCCCTGATACAATCCACAGCTCTCTTCATTTAGTAAGAAACGTTTCATGTCAGACTTAATGTTGTCGATGTCCAGTCAAATTTCAGACATCCATTAGGGCAAATTGCCCAAAATGACCTTGGATCTGGAGTAAGATGCCGGCGTTTTGCTTTAATTAATTAATTATTTTCTGATTTACAAAGTACATTTTCTGTTAAATGTGTCTGATTGGTCACCATAGCAACTGTTTCGTGGATTATTGGGGCATGGGTTGGGGGTGGTATAGTTGCAGTTTCAAAAAGACAGTGTATCGTTTGCAGCACAATTTTCGTTTCTAATGCTGCTTTTGTTTACTATCATTATTATTACCGTTTCTAGAATAAAAATAGGTGAATTGACTGAATTTTGAGGTTATAAAATGTGGAGGTACAATAGAATTTCCCCAAAGATACACACTGCAGATTTGGGAGACCGTTGATGTGTAAGGCCGAATAAAAAAACCCCATGTTTCTCGTCCGGGTTTTTGAAAAAAAGGAGGAAGCGGTGCTTTTTATTTTTTATTTGTTTCAAGATGGCCGCCATTTAAAAATTTCCTACAACCGTTGGTGTTTCCACTGTTCAAAGACACTTTTCAAATGAAAGATAAGTTGGACAAGAGAACTGAACATATTTACAGTGTCATTTAGACTTGTATTGGTCTACAATTTATTTTCCGATGAATTTGTGGACTTTTCCGGTGTTTTTTTACTACATTTTTCAAAAATAAAATGTAATAAAAAAATCCAGGCGGTCTCCAAAAAGGAAGCGGGCGGGGACGAGAAACATGTTTTTTTTTACTTCGCCTAATTACAATGATCAACGCAGTACTGTATAAAGGTGATTTTTGTTCTTAATACCTGATACAGAACATTCTGTCCAAAAATCTTGCTTTATGTGGAGGTAAATACATGAAGCGAACCTTAGCGATGACCACACACACCAAACCATTGCCGCAGATTCCTACGAGTCCAACGAAGGTCTGAAAAACCCGAAGTGCCAAGTTTTCTTCAGCCATGTCTGTAGCCTACTCGATCGGCTGAGCAAACTGATCGGGATAGAGCTGCTTTTAATGGGCAACTGCCTTTACCCCATAGTCAGTCATTACCAGCCATCTTCGTATAGCCGCTGCAAAATCCAGAATGGCTGGTCATCACAGCATGCAATCATTCTCGATCAAGTCCCAGTTCCGTTATAAATTAATAAATTAAAACCATTCACGTGATCGATCTATGTTTCCTTAGGCAACGTGATTACATACACTATGTCCACTATTCAATAAGCTTCATTGGTAATGTACTGGGTCATTCTATACATTTAGGGTCCAAAGTGTGACATTTTTCTTGTCCCTGTTACCTTGGTACTTTGTAATTTGCCATTCAAGCATCATTAAGAATGACTTCAAATGATTGTTTATTTGTTGGGTAGGTTAGTTTGCTATTCATAATCACTCTTGGAGGATGACTGCATTAAGGAGTGCATCAGAATTGTACAATCATAGATGTCAGATGTAACAGGGACAGGAAAAAAGTGGACCCCAAATTTGTAGAATGACCCACTTACCATTCCTTTCAGGCGTATCGCGGCAATGACTACAGCGGAGCAATTAACAACATCTTTTTGAGTGATTGCAAACCTGTCATGTACTTGTAGTCAAATCCTACATGAAAGCTTTACCTTGGTAATCTAAAACAACTCGAAATTGCAGAGGACTTAATTTTTGGAGTCCTTAATTATTAGCCACAGAAAGTAAAGCTAGATGAAATTAAGAATCCCTGGTACAATCCACAGCTCTCTTCATTTAGTAAGAAACGTTTCATGTCAGACTTAATGTTGTCGATGTCCAGTCAAATTTCAGACATCCATTAGGGCAAATTGCCCAAAATGACCTTGGATCTGGAGTAAGATGCCGACGTTTTGCTTTAATTAATTAATTATTTTCTGATTTACAAAGTACATGCACTGTTAAATGTGTCTGATTGGTCACCATAGCAACTGTTTCGTGGATTATTGGGGCATGGGTTGGGGGTGGTATAGTTGCAGTTTCAGAAAGGCAGTGTATCGTTTGCAGCACAATTTTCGTTTCTAATGCTGCTTTTGTTTACTATCATTATTATTACCGTTTCTAGAATAAAAATAGGTGAATTGACTGAATTTTGAGGTTATAAAATGTGGAGGTACAATAGAATTTCCCCAAAGATACACACTGCAGATTTGGGATACCGTTGATGTGTAAGGCCGAATAAAAAAAAACCATGTTTCTCGTCCGGGTTTTTGAAAAAAAGGAGGAAGCGGTGCTTTTTATTTTTTATTTGTTTCAAGATGGCCGCCATTTAAAAATTTCCTGCAACCGTTGGTGTTTCCACTGTTCAAAGACACTTTTAAAATGAAAGATAAGTTGGACAAGAGAACTGAACATATTTACAGTGTCATTTAGACTTGTATTGGTCTACAATTTATTTTCCGATGAATTTGTGGACTTTTCCGGTGTTTTTTTACTGCATTTTTCCAAAAATAAAAGATAATAAAAAAATCCAGGCGGCCTCCAAAAAGGAAGCGGGCGGGGACGAGAAACATGTTTTTTTTTTTACTTCGCCTAATTACAATGATCAACGCAGTACTGTATAAAGGTGATTTTTGTTCTTAATACCTGATACAGAACATTCCGTCTAAAAATCTTGCTTTATGTGGAGGTTAAAAACAAGTATACAGTATTCGCTAAGTGCCATTAGGGCCTATACTATAGTTTTTAAACAGCACAAGCGTTCGTCTGTATCCTCAATCTTTCACAGTACTTATGCATTTAGAGTTTTGCTTTGGTCATGCATGACCAGTACTCACTGTTGGCGGTGGCAAATCGTCAGCAATCGTAATCTGCCTACCCAGGAGCGTTTTCAGAGCCTTTCGGAACTGCTTGTACTTGATGGCATACAGGAATGGGTTCAGGCAGCTGTTTGAGGCAACAAATGCAACCGACACGATGTAGACGAAGGAGGTAAAGTCCACTTCCACGCCAAGGTTGAAGAGGAAGAAGATGACCTCGTTGGGCGTCCAGCAAACAGTGAACGCCACGCAGACGATCAGGAGGGTCTTGAAGGTGTTACGGCGAGCACGCATCAGCGACTCCCCCTGGCCCTCGGGAGCTTGACCGGTAGATGGACCGGCAGCCTCCGGTCCGGGCTGGATTCTCGCGGCTCCCTTCTTGAGGACCACTGCGATGTGGACATAGGCAACTATCATGACGATGACAGGTAGAAGGTATGTCACCATGAAGACGGCCACGCCAAGAGCTTGCGGATGGGCCACTAACTTCTGCTTGCACTGACCGGCTTCGTAGTAGCGAATGAAAATTCCATAACTGATGAAAAGGAATGCCGACACCCAAACAGTTAATATTGTGACTACGGCATTCTTACGAGTACCAAGCACTTGGTACCTGAAGGGGAACACAATGGCTAGGTACCTCTCCAGGGTCAATGCAACCAGGTTAAAAGTGGACGCTGTGAACATGACCCAGTTGAAATATTTTGAAATCCACAGCCTACAAAGCAGCACTCCGCTGGCACCTGGCGGCAGCGGGTCAGGAATCGGTACAACACTGCTCAGCAAAACGAGCAACGACCCGAGGAGATCGATCAGGGCTTGGTTGAAGATGAAGGCGTTGGTCAGGGTGTGCATGAAGCGAACCTTAGCGATGACCACACACACCAAACCATTGCCGCAGATTCCTACGAGTCCAACGAAGGTCTGAAAAACCCGAAGTGCCAAGTTTTCTTCAGCCATGTCTGTAGCCTACTCGATCGGCTGAGCAAACTGATCGGGATAGAGCTGCTTTTAATGGGCAACTGCCTTTACCCCATAGTCAGTCATTACCAGCCATCTTCGTATAGCCGCTGCAAAATCCAGAATGGCTGGTCTTCACAGCATGCAATCATTCTCGATCAAGTCCCAGTTCCGTTATAAATTAATAAATTAAAACCATTCACGTGATCGATCTATGTTTCCTTAGGCCAACGTGATTACATACACTATGTCCACTATTCAATAAGCTTCATTGGTAATGTACTGGGTCATTCTATAAATTTAGGGTCCAAAGTGTGACATTTTTCCTGTCCCTGTTACCTTGGTACTTTGTAATTTGCCATTCAAGCATCATTAAGAATGACTTCAAATGATTGTTTATTTGTTGGGTAGGTTAGTTTGCTATTCATAATCACTCTTGGAGGATGA